TCTTTTTGAAGAGGCTCCCTGTGGTTCTTAGAGATCAACCAGGTCCTTATTGAAGGATGTCTGTTTTTCTCTCGCCTTTAATTAGTCTGCCTGAAGAGCAGGTTTAGTATAGAAAACACTTCAGATTTCTCAGAAGGACACCACGGTTGCAAAAGGCTATCTTTTTTATGATTTATTTGCTTGTTTTTTAAATAGCTTAATACTAACAGAGTGAAAGGCCTCTCCCAAGAGAATGAAAATGGAACCTTGGTCTTTTTTTAGTAGTAGTTCTTGAGAGCAGTATCCTTAGAACCGGAGTTCACTTCTAGATCTCTTCAGCTTTTAGGTTCCTGCTGTATTTACAGTGTGAATTATTCATTAGTGCGTTTGGGAAGCATCTGGAATGCTGTATATGCCAACATCGTCAAAGTAATGCCCGTCAGAACTTGATGGTCTTTTCGGACTATCACCTGCAACCAGTCTTCTTTAACTCTGTTTAGGATTTAACTGGCAAAAGAGAACTAGAAAGAATACTGATTTTGCCTGGATCTATTCACCTAGGCTTCCTACCACTAGATATAAAATTTAAATGATTTTTATGACTGCTAAGGCCTGGAAGCTAAAAGGAAAATGTGGATTTAAAATAACAATTTTGGAAGAATTTTTATATGAGGTGTGAATTTAGAAGTGGTATTTTAAATTTGTAATGTAAATTTAAGTTAAAACATTGTAACCTACTTCTTAGTAGCCTCAGATTAACCTGAAATTAAAAAAAAAAAATGAATAAGCAAGTTTGTAAGTTATAGGTAACAGAAGAATTGGTTAGTATTTCAAGCCCCGTGCTGACAGCGCCCCACGCGCAGCCTCTGGACGCTGAGTGCTCCAGGCTCCCAGCTGCGCTGCTCTCAGTACTTTGGGAGAAGCACCTGGCAATCAAGTCGTCATCTGCTCTGCGTGTTCCTCCTCTTCTTCCCAGTCCTTGTGCTGGTGTTGTTTTTACTGCATCTGCTTTATTTTTATTTTTATTGATTTATTTTTGAGACCGGATTTCACTCTGTCACCCTGGGTAGAGTGCCGTGGCCTCATCATAGCTCACAGGAACCCCACACTCTTGGGCTCAAGTGATCTTCTTGCTCAGCCTCCCTAGTAGCTGGGACTACAGGTGCCCACCACAGCCCAGGGCTAGTTTTTCTACTTTTGATAGAGACAGGGTCTTGCTCTTGCTCAGGCTGGTCTCAAACTCCTGAGCACAAGGGATCCACCCTCCTCAGCCTTCCAGAAGCTGGGATTACAGGCATGAGCCATGGCACGCGACCTATATCTGCCTTTTAAGGAGCAGTTGTGATACCCCAACTCAAAGAACTGGACTATGCTTTTAATTCTATTTATCCGTTCTGCTTTTTTCCTAAGATGTTTTTTCCTGTAGGGATATACTGCTTTTTCACATTCTTTTGGATCTAGTCTCACTAGATAAACTCTGCTATGTATCCCTGCCGTCTGTAGAGAGCCTGGTGTGGTTTACGTATTAGAGTAGATGTTCATGTGAGAGAAGTCTTCACGTAACTACATCCTTCTTCCAGTTGGGTTGATTAAAAATTTTAAACTGTTAATATTTTCATGTCTTCTTTTTTTGAAATAACTGCCCCAGTCGATATTCTATTAGGTGTTAGATATTCCCTCAAAATTTCAAAACTAGAAGGGGCAGTAGAGGTCACGCTGTCCAAGACCCATCAGCTCACACTTGTTTATTCGTCGAGGCCATGCGTCCAGGCACAGGTCTCTTGATTCCCAGAAGTTCCTAGAGTAACGTCCTTTTGACTAGAGTCCATTGCCTCTTGCATCATCTGATAATGTTTGCTAGAGACAAAACCACATTGCATTTCGTATGTGATATGTGCCACGATTAAAATTGTAAGTTTATCATCACATATTTTTCCAGGCAAATGTGTAGATTTTGGGGAAATGGAAGCAGCAGAAGTAAAATGCGAAATAATTAAGGTGCCTCCTATAAAAAAAGAAGAGCAATAGGCAATGAACAGGCAGTGAGCAGTGAGATGCTGACCAGTGGGAGTCCTCCTGGGGCTCCAGTGGCCAGCGCCCTGCAGGCATTTTCCTAACCACAACCACCTAAAGTCAGGACTCAGGAGAATCAGCCAGCAGGGCCAATGTTAGTGAGTTTTCTTTTCTCATTATCACTTCTCAGTTTTTATGCCTTTTTAAGCATGCTGAAGGTGGACACAAGTATTTGTGTTCTAACCTGGAGATGGGATTAGGAAGGGAAACCAGAATGATTTTGGCTAATGTGAGTGTATTCAGTGCAAACCTGCTAGGCAGGTTAAAAGTCTTCTTAGTGTAATGTCTTAGCATGAGTAAAATACTGTCTTTACTTCCATCAAGAAGACATGTTCACGGTTTTCATTAGCTCTCTGACGGAGCAGCTACACACAGCCTTTGAAACATGGCCTTGGCACTTTGATTTTTAATTTACACATTTGGACAGTTTTCCTTGGATTTGGAGCAACAGTGCCCCCACTGAGGATGATCATGGGGGAATGGGAGCCTGGTAAGAAAACAGCTCTAGTGCTACAAATGAAAGTCACTGCATGCTTGTGTACCTGTGGTCAAATCAGGTCTTCATAGCCAGTTAAGTGACCACCTACTGATCCTTTCTCTTCCTATTTGCCATACCTTTGAAGCAAAAGCCTAAAACCCGAGCAAGTCTTTAATAACGGGGTCTTGATTACACACGTGGGAAGACTGAAGGCAACAAATGGATTTCAGAAATGGACATTTGGAGGATTTTAAAAAAGCAAAACTTATAAACAGATGCACTAATTTCATCTTTCACTCCTGATTTCTCAATTATCTTTCTACATAAAGGTAACATGTCTGCATTTTTATTTTAGGAATCTTTCAAAGAAATACCAACCCAAAAGGAACTCAAAGGAAGAAGAAGAGTACAAGTATGTTTATCATTGATAATCATGTGGTAATGTCTGTCCACCACTGGTGATAATCACAAAAGAAAAGAACTATCTATCTATTAACCTAAGTAGCAGTCCCCATTCAATTGCAGTTTTTAAATTGGGGGAGAGAACGATAAAAACATGCTCAATTAACTTTTCTTTTTTATTTGTTTGCTTGTTTATTTATTTATTTCTTTATTGCTGTTTTTGGCCGGGGCTGGGTTTGAACCCGCCACCTCCGGCATATGGGGCTGGCACCCTACTCCTCTGAGCCACGGGTGCCGCCCAACAATTAACTTTTCTTATACTAAGTCCTTAGACCTATTCCAGATTGTTTCAATTAATTAGAAAAAGTTTATATTATAAAGTAAACAGGCTTGGTGCCTGTGGCTCAAGTGGCTAAGGTGCCAGCCACATACACCTAAGGTGGCGGGTTCAAATCCAGCCCGAGCCCGCCAAACAATAATAATGGCTGCAACCAAAAAATAGCCAGGGGTTGTGGCGGGCGCCTGTGGTCCCAGCTACTTGGGAGGCGGAGGCCGGAGACTTGCTTGAGCCCAGGAGTTGGAGGTTGCTGTGAGCTGTGATGCCACAGCACTCTACCCAAGGGGACAGCTTGAGGCTCTGTCTCAAAAAAAAATAAAAATAAAAAAATAAGGTAAACAAATATAGGAAGTATAGATTATGCATTCTAGAGTCCAGATTTGGTTGTTACTATCAGGAGTCCCCTGAGTGTCATACTACTTGTTCATCTGAGAAATAAATCCATTTCAGTAAGCAATTAAGGCATCTTAATATGGACAGCCCAAAATATTATATCTCTAATTTAGATTTAAATATCCTTTGCATTGGTACATATAGCACGTATATGGGTTAAATCTGGACTTAGTATTATCAAGGCCAAATATTGCATTACATACAGCAATTCAGTTTCACAAAATGAAAAGTATTTTGATTGTAATTAATTTTGAGCCCTTTTGATGAGAATTCGCTATGTGTAATGAATCGTCAGGGTCCTAAGGGAGATTGATGCAAATTAACCTGATTTTAATTACTATCTCCTTGGTGTTAAGCAGTGTTAGGAGGGATGTGGCCTTGTTTGAAAAGGAATGGTGTGTGTTCTGTTTCACAGGTATACGTCATGCAAAGCTTTCATTTCCACCCTGAACGAAATGAATGACTACGCGGGGCAGCATGAAGTTATCTCCGAAAACATGACCTCTCAGATCATCGGGGACTTAGCACGCTATGTTCAGGAACTGAAACAGGAGAGGAAATCGGTAATAAAAATTTTATTTTATGTTCTTCCTTAAAGATGGACCAAAGACAATGGGAATATCCCTAGAATATTTAAAGTTGAACGGAGACATATAAGATGATGGGTCTTAAACTAATACCTTTGAGAATCGTATAAAAGCTATGGACCCTATTTCTAGAAGGTATTTCTAGGTCCCTATGTATAATTCAGGGGTCCCCCAGACACTCTGAAACTCATCTGGAGACCCAAGGATATGAATCCCTGTGAGGAATTTAAATTTATTTGAGGTTATCAGACATTGAAGAAAGTAGGCAATAGGCTGGTTCACATGCAGTGGTGTTCACAACTAACTGATCACAGCCAGTTACAGATTCCTTTGTTCCTTCTGCACTCCCACCACTTCACTTGACTAGTCTTTAAAAAAGAAAAAGGGAGCAATATTATATGGTACATGCTGTGCGGAATAAATAGTATTAAAATAAATGCTTATAAGGAGGTCAACAAAACGGAAAGGTGAGCTCAGTTCTCCATCATTCTGTTCCTTGACCCTTTCCTTGCCATCTAACGAAGCAGAACATAACTGTTCCTCTTACAGTCTTTTCATAAATAGCTTTTAATGTTAACCAATGAGAAAGATGTATTCAAAGTATATTCATAGGCAAGATTTTGCCTTAAGAAATTTATCTTTTGGGGCTGGGTGCGGTGGCTCACGCCTGTAATCCCAGCACTCTGGGAGGCCAAGGTGGGTGCATTGTCTGAGCTCAGGAGTTAGAGACCAGCCTGGGCAAGAGTGAGACCCTGTCTCTAAAAAAATAGCCAGGTATTGAAGTGAGCTCCTGTAGTGCCAGTTTACTTGGGAGGCTGAGGCAAAAGAAGCACTTGTGTCCAAGAGTTTGAAGTTGCTGTGAGTGATGATGCCACAGCACTCTACCAAAGGCAACAAAGTGAAACTCTGTCTCAAAAAAAAAGAAAAGAAAGAAAAAGAAATTTATCTTTCTTTAAGTCATGGTCTGTATCATTGTGCTTTGATTAGTGATGAACTACATAATAAATTATTAGTAGTAATAAAGTACCAAAGTTGACCAGTGATGTACTTTTTTATAAATTTGGATCCACAATAATTCTTTTAGTGGCTGGACACATTGGCTTATGCTGTGATCCTAGCACTCTGGGATGATGAGGTGGGGGGATCCCTTGAGCTCTGGAGTTGGACACCAGCCCGAGCAAGAATAAGACCCATCTCTACTAAAAATATAAAAATTAGCCAGGTGTCATGTTTGATGCCTGTAGTCCCAGCTACAGGGGAGAGTGAGGCAGGAGGATCACGTGAACCCAGGAGTTTGATGTTACTATGAGCTAGGTTGACATCACAGCACTCTAGCCTGGGCAACAAAGTGAGAATCTGTCTC